TCTGAAGATCTGGTATTTGAAGCCTTCTGAAGGGCACAGAGTAGATAAGGCACAACTCTTAAACTGCAAACATAGAGTGCTAAGTGTCTATGCAAAACCTCATTCAAGATAATTAATTAAGTAAAATAAATCTGTTATGGGGTGTCCCAGATAGCTAAGGAGGACTCATCATACTGCTTGCATAAGGAGTGCAGAACATGCACAGTTTCCCCTTCCCGAACTCTTGCAATGCCACAAAAAGCAAACCCAAACTGCAAGGAACTTGGATGTACAGTGGTTTTGATTTTGCTTTTCCTTTAAAGTTTACACACCCTCAGCACATCCTGAAGGTTCTCTAAACTAAGTAACTTAAATATTTCAGTAATTCTCAATGATACAGTTCAGTAAATTTGCCTGTGTATTAAAAAGAACAGATAAGTTCAAGGAAAATGAAAATTAAAATCACTCTACTTGATCCAGTAATGACTGAGAAATTGAAATTAAATATTGAGAACAAAAAAAAAGGCAAATATACATGAAAAATACATAGGAAAAATTAAAATAAAAGCAAAGTTAACATAGAGCTATGAGTTTGCTGAGATTTTTTTCCAAGTTGAATATTGAACTTTTTGTCAGGGTACAATCAACATGGTGCATTCATTGTGCTTACTCATGGCATTTACATCATTTTATGCTGGCATTACAGGCTTCAGCAAGCTTGACTGACAGAAGTACAACAGTTCTTGTTAGAGCAAATGTTTACAGATATTTTAACAACACAGCACAACTAAGCAGATGAGTCAGCTGACACATTACCCTCCGATGGAATTTTTCTTTGACAGTTTAGACTGGAAAAAAGAACTTTATATTTTTGATATAATTACTTTTGCACTTCTTAAAGATTGGAAGATCCTCTTTTTTCCATTGATCTATCATTCAAGGTAAAGTACTAGTTTCAATTTCTATTCATCAAGGAAATAAAATAATTGCTTAATTTTGTATCATACTGCATATTAAATCCGTCTTTTTCATACTGATTCATCCCATTAACTATTTATTGTCTTATGAGTAATTTTACTCATATGATAACCACAATAACAGTATTTGACCTCTTAAACTGATATTTAATCTGAATTGTTTTACCCAAGGAAAGATCACTTAAAATTAAATTAAAACTACTACCTACTTTCCCAAGTGCACAAGATTTTCAAAAAACTGAAATAAAAAAGCTTTGATAATCCCTGGGCCAGTCTCATAATGGCAGACTGAATTGTGTTTCTATAAAATTTGTAAATATCCAATAGCTGTCAAAAAATAAGTTGACAAACTGGAGAAACTGCATATTTTGAAAATGTTTGTTCAGTTTACAACACCCCTCCATTTTCAAAGCTTCCCATATGCTTGAATATGCAAAAAAAAACTGTTCTGAAAAAAATTACCCAAGTAATTTCTGAGATTAAATATTTTTTTCAGTAACTCAATAAAAGCTGATCAAGAATGGCATTTATAAGCCAAGAAATGCTCATATTAGCCATCTAAGCTGAATGAATAATTCCTAGGAAATCAAGGATAGTCTCCTTTCCAACTTCCCAGATTTGTAATAAAGAACCTGAGACTCCTAAGATTTTCCAGGCTTTCCAGAGGTGTAAATATAATTTTCTGTATTTCAGTTTGTGTCCATTGCCTGTTCTTTTTTTTTTGGCTGAACACCACTGAGGAAGAGTATGGCTCTACCTTCTTCACTCTGCTCGATCTGGCAATTAAACACATTGCTAAGATCCCCCTGAGCATCCTCCAGGCATAACAGCCCAAGTTCTCACATAACCTCCTCATGTGACAGATGCTCCACTACCTTAACCATAGCCATGGACCTTTGCACAGCTCTCTCCAGCTGGACTTCACTGTTTGAGCCTCACTGTTCAGCCAGTTTTGAATATACCTCACTGTCCACTTTTCTAGTCTGTTGTTCATCAGTTTGTCAATGAGAATGTCATGGGAAATAGTGTCAAAATCCTTGCTGAAATAAAGAAAAAACATGTCCGCTGCTCTCCTCTTCTTTGCCAAACTAGTAATTTCATTGTAGAAGACTACTGGGCTGGTCAGGCTTAATTTCCCCTTTGTAAATTAATGTCAGCTACTCCATTCATCTTCTTGAATATGTTTGGAAGTCCTAAGTTTGAAAGCTAGAGGAGTGTGGAACCTCTAAGAAATATAACTCGAAACAAGAGTTTCAACATTTCCAAGCCTCCAGCTTTGGAGATGAGAGCCCATTCCCCATCAAAACCAGAACTTCCAAGGTTTCCCAGCCCTATCTCCTTGATAAATTCCAAAAAAACTCAGGAACATAGTTCTAGCAATGCACAGAATCTGCAATATTTGCCCCTGTAATAACCAGAAACTTCAAACTTCTTGCATTCCTGGAGGTCTAGAGAAGCAGCATGCAGAATACTACAGCAATATCTAAATTCTTTTTAAGCTGTTCTATCTTGTGTACAGGGACAGATGTGATCTCAGCATGGTCTAGTTTATCCAAACCAAAAGCAAAGCCAATACTGGATCTTGTAATACATAACACACAAGCCACCAAAGTGAACAACTAGCCAGTCACTCAACATGTTGCCTCACTAGGCAAGCCATTCCTAATGTCCAACCTAAATCTACCCTTCTCTAGCTTGAAACTATTATCTCTTGTCCTCCTGTTACATACTCTTGTGAACAGGTCTTCCCCAGCCTTCTTACAGGCCCCTTTCAGGTATTGGAAGGGCACTATAAGGTCCCTCTGGAGTCTTCTCTTCTTCCGGCCGAACAACTCCAGCTCCCTCAGCCTGTCTTCATAAGAGAGGTGCTCCAGCCCTCTGATCATTTTTCATGGCCCTTCTCTGGACATGCTCCAACAAGTTCACATCCTTCTTATATTGGGGGCTCCAGAGCTGGATGCAGTACTCCAGGTGAGGTCTCCCCAGGTCAGAGTAGAGGGGTAGAATCACCTCTCTCAATCTGCTACCCACACTTCTTTTGATGCAACCCAGGATGCAGTTGGCCTTCTGAGTTGCAATTGCACATTGGTGGCTCATGTCCAGCTTTTCATCCACTAGTACCCCCAGGACTTTTTCCACAGGTTCCTCAGATGGTCAGAAACCTTGTCTTTGCTTACAGTGGGAGGGACTTTGTCTTCCTGGTCACTGTCTTGTGGGCCATCAGCTTGAGAGGCAAGAGGAGAGGGGTTGCCAGTGAAGACTGAGGCAAGAAAGTTGCTGAGAATCTCAGCCTCCTCCTCATCTGTTGTTACTAGTTGCTCATCAGTAGGGATATGCTTTCCTTAACTTTCCTTTTCTGGTTTACATACTTGGAGAAGCTCTTCTTGTTCTTCTTTACATCCCATGCCAAGTTCAGCTTCAGCTGCACCTTGGCCTTCCTGACCTCATCCCTACACAACCAGGCAATGTCCCTATACTCTCCCCAGGATACCTGTCCCCACTTCCACTGCCTTTGTAGTTCCATCTTGCCTTGTAATTTGACCAGCAGGTCTCAACTCAGCCACGCTGGTCTCTTCCCTTCCCTGCTCAGTTTCTTACACCTGAGGACTGAGATTTCTTGTGCTTTATGGAAAGCATCCTTAAAGATCTGCCAGCTCTCTTCTGCTCCCTTTTTCCTGAGGGTAATTTTCCAAGGGGTCCTATTTACTAACTCCTTGAAGAGCTGGAAGCTTGCTTTCCTAAAATTTAGAGTCCCAACTGTGCTTCTCATCTGCCTCATACCCCTTACGACAGTGAATTGCACTAGTGAGTGATCACTGCAGCCCAGGCTGCCTTCAACTTGGATATCCCTGATGAGTACACTTGCATTTGTGATCATCAGGTCCAATAACACATACCCTCAGGTAGGGCTATTTCTTGTCTTAACAAGTTGTCATTGAGATACTCCAGGAGTCCCCTGGATTGCCTACAGCTTGCCATGCTACTCTTCCAACAGATGTCAGGGTGGTGGTTGAAGTCCCCCAGCAAGATGAGAGCCTGTGATCGCAATGTCTCCTCTAGCTGGAGTAAGAAGATTTCATTGATAGGCTTCACTTGATTGGGTGGCCTGAGGTAGACTCCAACCACAAGATTCCCTTTGTTGTCCCAATCTGTAATTCTTAGCGCTAAGGTTTCAAGCGGCTCACAACTATTCTTTAGGGACAACTCTTCATACTATATCCACATCTTTACATAGAGAGAAACACCTCCACCCTTCTTCCTCTCCTGTCCCTTCTGAACAGCTTGTAGCCATCAACAGCCATATTCCAGTCATAGGCACTCTTTTCTCTGGAAAGAGAAGTTCTTTCCCCTTTATCAGTTACTGGGCTTTAACCTTCATTTTCCAAAAAGGAGACAAACAAGAGACTCCTGAATCAGAGCCCATCACTTTACAATAACCACCAGTGTGCTCATTATAAAGTACTTAAGACTTCCTTTCTATATTGTTTTTAAATTGAGTCAATCTAGATAAAGACTAAATCCAGTATTTATGCTAAACCACTATGGAACCACTGTTATCATTATAGGAAAAGGTTAAAAAACAGTTCAACAAAGTATTTATAAATTAATGGAATACCTCAATATCATATAATTGTTATATCAATTCAGATAACAAGTTGCTGTATGCAAAAGGGTGAAAAGCCCTAAAGAGTTAATATTTAATTTTCAGTCTACTACTTAATTAGAAAAATGGAATACAATGAGAATTGAACTACAAATGAAAGGAAAAATTGTTTATTCCTCATAAATCCATTCAAAATTAATCTCTGTTTGACTCTAATGTACACAGCTTTTTATAAGGTTCTCTATTCTAAGAGAAGTAAACAAAGGCAAATAATTCATAATGCCAAGTATTCCAGTGAATAAACTGAAACAACTTGCCTCAGCACATTTTAATCATGATAAAACTTTTCTTAAAGGCATTTCAAACTATAGCACTATAAAAAAGATTCTTGATTAGACTCAGGAATATGCAAACTGCAAGCCACAAGGACAAACACCTACCCTTGATAATCGATTCAGCTGCATACAGATCCCTCTTGTAGGTCACCTAAAGGACAGACAAGCCACATTAGATTTAATGCAGCAGAAAGGAATGCAAAACCAATAAAACAACGACCTGAAGGCAATTCTTTACATCTGAAATACCATCAAGAAATTGACATATAATTTATTCATTCTGGTAAAATATCACTGGCAAGTCATGAGATCAGAAATTGCAAAACTTACCCGAAATTCAAGAGAAACACTTTTAAATACTTAGCTCTGCTTGGAACTCATTTGAAACCTAAACCATTTTAAACCCTTTGGAGAAAAAACACAATACTGCATCTACTTTATCACATTCACTCTATAATTATCTTGTGACAAATTCATTTTTTATGGGACTTGTGATCATAGAAATGGCAGGCAGGGAGAAGCCTCGTTAGTTTTTTTTTTTATTAATCTAGGTGCAATTTTTCAGTTGTGTGGGACTATTAATGAGAGCTTAGTTAATCAGTGGGAAGCAGTGAGGTTACAGTAGCTTTGCATGAACTTTCAGAGGATTAAAAACAATCAAGATCTTCTTGAAAACATGAACCAGAGCAAGCTAGATGGACAGGGAGATGCCGAATATTTATTTGGTACTTGCAAAAAACACCTTTCATACCTGCCTTCATACTCTCATGGTGGTTGACAGTCCCAGTGCTATGCTTTGCAAATAAAATAACTTAATAACCCAAGACATTAACAGCCTTTGCTAGCAGTATCTTCTCAATGACATGCAGTGACATGAAGTGATATAACTCCTAAATACTTGTATTTGTTTTTACTGTAACTTTCTTTAATGTTAAATAAAATATTACTGAATTTTCTGCATTTGTTTCTCTAGAGTCTGAGTATTTTTTCTCTCTTTTGAAATGGACTGAATAGGATTCCAAAAGATTTAGTGCTGCAAAGTAAATCTTACAGTAGAATCACACTATTTTAAGTATTAGCATTTTAGTCTCCAAGTAAATTATTATTTGACCTGAACATAAGCCTTCTTTTAACTGCTTTCCTTTCCATCTCATAAATTAAGCTGTGTACTGTAGTCAGAAACAGATTAATAATATTAACTTTCTCATTACTCTAAATTTCTTCAAGGAATTATATTATTTTTAAATTTAAAATTTACTTGTGTCCCCACATCTTGTCCTGCAGGAGAAGCTACCAGAGAATCAATCTAGCCTGAGAAATCTTTGGCGTCTGAGCTTACATATGGTTGGGAAGAATCAATGGTTTAAGGAAAAAGAATTTCTGAGTGACCAATTTTGCTGCAAGATTTCTTTCTAATTACCTGTTTCTAGAGAGCTTTTACACTGAACTTTCAGTATAACTGTAAGAGGTTAAAATTTAAAAACCTTCCAAGAAACAAGACTGTAAGCTCTGTAAATAGTGGTCTCACATATTCTAAGCTTCACAGCTTCTTTGAGATGCAAAAGTATTTTAAAATGGTCTGGTTTTAAAAATAAGTGACTTTATAAACTAGCACCAGCCTTCAAGAAAACACAGAAGAATAAAAAAATAAGAATGAACTACTAAAATTCTGAGTCAGACATCAGCAAATACTTTTAAGGGTGGTTTCCAAGAGAAATAAATAATCTGAGACTGTATCACACTATTCTCATATATTCCTTCCATACTCTACGATCCTATAAGCTTTAGGAAAACAGTAAAATTGACAGAGAGAAAAACTCTGCCAGCTCCCCCAGGTGACCACCACTTGCCAATCAGGGAGTGAAGAATTCTCTACATCCCTTTCAGTACGAACCAGAGGTTCTCTAAAAGTATTCATAACGTTTCTGGATTTTCTTTTGTGGATTGAGAGGTGTTCTTGCAATTTACAGATTTATTCAAAAGCCTGGCAACCACAACAGATACACTCTTTAGTTCAATTCTGACCATTGATGGGTTTCGTATGAATTTGTTTTAAACAACTTTTAAGGCTAGTCAACACAGGTTTATTGTTCTGACAAGCCATATTGCATTACCTCTAGTTTCATAAAAATGGATTTTCATTCCAGGCTCACCTCAGCCAGAAGCAATTCAGAACTAGCCAAATCAATTGGGAAGAATATTTTAACTGTCTCTCTGTATCAGAAATTAAGATGGTACTCCCCATTCTCACAACCCAGGTGAGGTGAACAAATTATAGTGGAAAAAAAAGTAAAAAATATGACACACAAGAGTTCTCTCTCACTTTGCAGGAGAGAGACCTATCTCATCCATTTGTTGTGTTGGTTTTTTTTAATATCACAGTACTAAGCTGAATCTCTATAGTTTTATCAAATTATCACTTACTCTTCTTTATCATTGTCTTATCTGAACCTTCTCTATCAACAGCTGTACAGAGCTGTAGCCCAGATTTGACCATAGTATTCTAGATGCTCTTGTAATACTAGAACATCTCTCTTCTAATGTTGTATTCTTGTTTGTGTATCAGTGGCTGACATAAGGTATTTTGCCCACAGTGGAAACTGGCCGTGCTCTGTGATCCTACACCATGTTCAAATACACTGTCTTCCTAGAACAATTCTCTAGATATGGCCTATACTTTGTTGTTTATAAAAACACTTCTTTATCTTTGGCTGCAGTAAAAAGCATTACTCTTGTTTAAATTGCTTGCCAAGCACTCCTTATCAATAGCTTACTTCTGATCAATTATATTTTCATTTGCAAAACCTCAAATCTCTATGTTTTCTGCAAACTTTATCAGACAATCATTAAATAGCTTAGAGACAATAACAGTTTCTATAGAACTGTAGTAGTGAGAATTATCCTTTGAAACATATCAGTTACCCAAATTTTAATCTGTTTAGTGAGGACTAGTGCAACTAAAGTAATCCTATTTTTAATTAAGATGCCATGTAGTAACAAGTCAAACTTATGCCAACTACATAGTCTATCAGCACTACTGTCTTCAGCAGTAAAGACTGTAATCTTGTAAAAAGGGCTTGAAGTTAATCTCACAAAATATGTAAATTCCATGTTGCTTGACATTAATCACATTAGTCCCTTAACTCTTTATTAACCAAGTTCTGCCTCTAGCAGTGCACCCTTTTTTCTTGATCAGTATTGACCTTACAGGCTTCTAACTACTCAGATTCTCTCCAAGAAACAACATTAATTTTCATTTTGATCTCTTGAGTGTCTACTGTTCCAAAATTTTCTGAACATTATTGTTGCAATCCAGAATATCACTAGGCCAAACACTAAAGCTCAACACATACCTTACTATCATGGAATATGAAACCATCATCTGTTTATTCAGCAAAGCCAAAATAGTCTAATATATTAAACATTTCTCTGCTTCTCTGCAAAATAATCAATCTACTATATCTATTTAGCAAAGCCTCAAAATCATCAGACAAGTGTTTGTTTATTTGTTTTCCTATATGCCCTTCTCTCTCAACTGTCAGACTGCAACTTTTCACTACTTGGGAACGATCCCCCCTTACAAAGAATGAAACTAATATGATGGGTTATTTTGTTACCTTTCCTCTAAGTACCATGCTCTGTAAGGAAAGCAATGAAACCATCCAAGAAGTGATGTAATGCAAATATGCATGACATAATCTGTCCCTTAGAAGATGTTAGAGGAAAACAGACACTTTAAACTGTTTCAGAAAGGCTATGTCCCCAGAAACATATTGAGGGAATTTGATGTATGCAACCAATGCATAACTAAATTTTGCTGCTAAATTGCACAGGAAATTTGCACTGCAGATTCAGGAAATTACCTTTCTGTGTAAGATTTACTGTCATATTATTGGATATCATGTCCCATTGGAGGAAATTTCCTGTCAAAGACAGACGGAGTTATTTTAGCTGCTTCCAGATCCTTCAATGTGGCAATGAATAATAACAAAGAAACACTTAAAAATTGCATGACACGACAGCTACTGAGAAAGAATCGCATCCCACCATCCAAAACAATTAAATGGGATACTGTTAAGCAGCAGAGATGGATCCTTTGGCACCTGTATACACACTTGCTTTGTCAGTCATCAGGAACACAGAGGTATCAGACAAGGTGAATGATGTTTAAAAGAATTTTAGAAGATCAGTTTAAACGGTCTTAAACATTAGAAGAATTACTGAATGTAATAAACTGCTCTAAAAATCTAAATGCTGTTATCCAAGTATTTAGCAGCAGAGAAGAAGTGAAAAGTGGATTAAAATAGACAAAAGATATAGAAATAACAGGAGAAAGCTCATCTCATAAGTGTTCTTAGTTTCAGAGATCGTGGATTTTTAGTTTTACAGATTCTCAGGTTATTCAGTTACCTAGTTGGCTTTCCTTCTTCCAGATAAAAATTCTCTTAATTGATTATCTCAGGTAACATCTGCCCAAGTCTGTCTACAACAGTGAGCTCTAAAAAACCTCATGGTAATAAAAAAACTACTTTGAAATTCCGAAGAGAAAAGCCTATTACAATTAAAAACGTATCTGAAATTTTATGGTAACATGAATTTTATTACTTTTAAAAGATAAATTAAAAAATAAGGTATTACTTCCTTTACCTTCCACAGGTCAGCTGTTCCTTCAACAAGTTTGGCATTTGTTTTACAGTATTTCAGAGCCAGATGCAAACATTCAGTTCCATAATCCAGGTCATAGTCTGTACACTGTAGTAATTAGAAAAGAATAAATATTCTTAATCAATCTGAGAAATCATACTTCTAAGCATATTTTATTTCATTAATTATACATCTCAACAGTCCTGTCCAGAATAATACACACTGTATTAGGTAGAGACGTCTACGATGAATTAGAAATAAAACACCTCCAACTTTACATCAAATCCAGCAAAGTGTTACAGAAGTAAATAAACATTTTATAACCACAAACTAATTCCATTTGGGTGCTTCAAGTCTCTTGACACAGTTGTTCCTCTGTATTCCTTTACATTTTTCACTTTACATTTTTCTTCAATTATCTACACACAAAATAGCAGTTTTATGCTACTGTGAGACTTCCAGATTTAAATAAAATTTAAAAAATTAAAAGTTTGTCCACTTTCTAGTGATCTAGAAGAGGTATTATTCTCTCAACACATCCTTCCCAAGCAGTTTGGTTTCCTATAGATACTGATTTGAAGAATCCTATTAATGGGAAACTGAGTAGGACACAGAATCTCGAGCCAAAACACAGGTGTGTACAAAAGCAGGAACTGATTGCTTATCAGACAGAATTCTCTTAAGATTAAGATAAGAACGTTCTAGTCTATTCTTGTGTTGTTAAATTATCATAGAATCTTAGGGGCTGGAAGGGACCTCGAAAGATCATCTAGTCCAACCCCCCTGCCAGAGCAGGGTCACCTAGAGTACATCACACAGGAACGCATCCAGCTGGGTTTTGAATGTCTCCAGTGAAGGAGACTCCACAACCTCCCTGGGCAGCCTGTTCCAGTGCTCTGTCACTCTTACAGTAAAAAAAAATTTTCGGATATTCACCGTGAACCTCCTATGCTCCAATTTACACCCATTACCCCTTGTCCTATCACTGGTCATCACTGAGAAAAGCCTAACTCCGTCCCCCTGACACTCACCCCTTACATATTTGTAAACATTGATAAGGTCACCCCTCAGTCTCCTTTTCTCCAAGCTAAAGAGACCCAGCTCCCTCAGCCTTTCCTCATAAGGGAGATGTTCCACTCCCTTAATCATCTTAGTAGCTCTGTGCTGGACTCTTTCGAGCAGTTCCCTGTCCTTCTTGAACTAAGGGGCCCAGAACTGGACATAATACTTCAGATGCGGCCTCACCAATGCAGAATAGAGGGGGAGGAGAACCTCTCTTGACCTACTAACCACACCCTTTCTAATGCACCCCAGGATGGATTACCAGGCCATCCAGAATCATGAACTACACTTGACAAGGAAGGATAACTTAAGGTAGTGTCTTTCGTAAAAATGGATGTATTTGACAATACCACAGGCTGGCAAGCCCAGTGCCCAGTCTCTAGCAGACGTTGACAGAGAATAGTGAAGGGTAAGTAAATAAGAAAAAGATAAATCACATTATCATACTTTCCCAGAACACTCCATTGGCCTTATATAACGTTATAATCCTATTCACCTAATTACTTTTTGAAGAACAGTATTTTTTTGGCACCTGCACCAGGGATCATTTGATTCATCACGCTCTTCATCACATGCTCTGTTGTTCTGACAGAAAAGGGATGGCAAAACCACCTTCTCAGCCCTTTCAAAATACTCCACTACATCTCACACCTTTCCACGGGTAAAGAAACCAACATATATTCAGTCATTTTAAGTGGAAGTTACTTCACACTTTGATCAACCTTTTTATCTTCCTTTCCATTTATCTGCATTTACCTATCAATTTTATCATAACATCCTTCTTAGTTAGCCTTTATCTCTAGTACTTTCCGCTCCCCCCACCAAAGGCCACCTCCAAAATTATTTATGAACAAAATGAACTGCACAGGTCCCAACACAGATCTTCACAAAACTCCATTGGTGATTTACTATGAAAACTGCTCATGCACTTCACATTATTTCTTGTCTTCTAGAAAATAATCTTTTCTGGTAAATCCTTATCGCTTTCCCAAATCTGTTCAGTTTCCTTAAAGAGCCTTAACAAGAAGGCTGTTATCAGCTTCAGCAACCTCAAGCAAGGTGCTGGTTAAAACCTTAAAGAACAACAATTGGCTCTGCGATGCGTAAGCTTTACAAAAGCTGAAATAACCCTTCCATTGTGTCAAAAGTAACCATTTTTCTACAAATTTTTGTTTTGAATAAAATGTGACTGTCCAGATATTGTGCTCCGTAATTCAGTCTTCTCAAGGATTCAGGAATTCAAAATTTTCAAGAATGCAGAAGTCTAAGTAGATTAAAGAAAAGTGCTGCAATACAACTTGCTCTTTTTTTTTTAATAGTTTCCTCAAGAATTTTAATTGAAAATATGAATAAAATTTTTAGTTTCTACTCTTGTTTTATAATGCATCTGTGAAGTTCAATGAATTAATCAGCATTATACACCTAAATTTTACCATTAAAACACACCTATGTCTTATAAAATCATAGTTATAATTTTTCTATTTTTTTAAATTAGTATTTTTTGGTTTTTTTAGTTTGTCATGATTGCAACCCAAAAATAAAGAGGTTCAGAGATAAATTTCCAAGGAAACCATAAATGGCCTAGTGATTCTCAATTGCAAATATTTGTTACTAAAATGTTTTCTTTTTTGGTTTGGTTTTGTTTTTAAGAAAAAATTTCTAGTAGAACACAAACTATTTTGTACTAATACAAATTTTAAAATATTTTTCTTTTGCCTCAGAATGAAAGAGAAAATTTCAGAAAAAAATCATCTGTGAAAGAATTTCATTTAAATTAAAATTATGTTTTTCAATATATGGGTAATGAATGATACTGGGACAAGACTAAGCAATTCCAACTTTTTAGCAAAGTATTAATTACAGATAATTAGTAGGGAGTGGAGGAGTTCCATAAATGGGCCAAAGCATCTTGAGGGTATTGCTGGCTTCAAGGGATGAAATACGACACAAAGCAAAGTGATAATTAAATGCATATTTCACTAACACTTGTACATCTTGACATTTACCACTCTAATTATCTGTAATTGTTTAAACCTAAACATATTGTCACAGTATACTTTTCTGCAAGTCTGATGCACTGATGTCAGAGGAAAACAATGAAATGAAAGTATCAGGTCAAGACTGGCTTAGTTTATGTATTACCCGTACACTAAACAGCTCCACAAGTGAAATTTTAAATCCATATTTAAGGCACAAAGTTTAAAAGCTTCCATATTCCTCTAAGAAATTTCATTAATAAATTCAGCATTTTCAAGGAGTGCCTATAATAAAAAGCTGTACAATATCTATGACGAAAAATCTTACTGACCCAGGCATGCAAATACTCTCATCCTAAGTCTTCTCTATTTCTTTATTGTAATGTAAATTGGCTCTAGATGTATAATCTGTTTAAAACTCTTATATTTCTACAGTACCTTTTTTACTAAAAGGCTTTTTAACATTAAGTTTGATGGAGTACAGTTAACTAACTTGACATGCATACATAGCTTTGTGAAACAATAGACATAGTTTAAGTTTCAGACCACAGATTGGAAATGGTGGAAACAGCTGGAAGTACTGGCACAAAACATATCCACAAAAGAAAGAAAACATATTAGTTTAGCTCTTTAAATGACAGAGAAGGAAATATGTTATTTAAAAATGCTTTTGAGCTCTTGAATATTCAAAGCATTCTAATAGGTAGTTCTGGGGACAGAAGTACCAGACGACATTCATCATCAGGAACATTTTACTAAGCTAAAAAAGAAGCAGACGCAAGCTTTTGCTGAACCTGACTCGGTCTATTTTTATCATCTTCAATAAAGATTTTTTTGCTATGTTCATTACCATGGGAAAAAAAAAAAAATGCTGAATGCAACAGTGTATTTGCAGCAAGCACTCATCCTACAGCAATACACCACAGATAAGTGAGAAATAAGAGAAGCAACAAAAAGGAGGAAACACACGAACAAGGGAACAATTATATTAATGTGCATTCAGATAAGCTTATCTCTAAAACAATTCCTACTGTAGTGAATTATTAAACCTGCTGTGACATATATCCAGATGCAGTAGAGCCTCACAGTGAAGAGAATAAAGATAGAGCAATTTACTCTTTTACAGAATTAAGCAAGTTGGTTTTTCTACAGATCTGTATCTATACCCCATCATCTCCCATTGCAGCAACTGCAAGTGCCCTCTCTACACATGCCATGATTTCCCTGCACTCTTCTGCCACATTTCCTGAGCACTTCCTGACTGCCCACTAAAATATTTTAGTACTCAAGGTGCTTCTAAGATCACTAAATTCAATAACTCCATACACTCAAGAACTTAATAACTCGTTGGTTCCGAGATCCCATGTGCTAAAATGTGTGCAACCTAGAAAAACAGAAGATAACAGCTAAGTCTGTATTTCAGCCATGGAGTGGAAGGACTAAGAGCACAAAGCTTCAGAGGCTCAAGCCTCCTCCTGGTGATGATAGTAATTAAGGTTTCCCTCCTCCTTACACTCGATTTTTTTAAAACTATGTAGGGACTTTAGCTCACAGAACTCTCTACATCTCTGTCAATTTTGATTGAAATAATGATTTTAAGGGTCTTTTCCAATCCAAACGATTGTATGACTCTATGAAATGGAATAAAATGTGCAATTAAAACTTTAAAATATTATTAGAAATGAAAGCACAGACTCAGCAAGATTCAGAAAGACAAACAGATGCAGAGAACAAATACTTACAATCAAAGTTTGCACTTCTGAGCATAAATTAAACAAAATCGTGTTAGATGCAGGAACTACATTTTTATGTGGATATTTCTGTTTTAGACAGGGTCCTTGAAGTTTCTCCTGAGCAACAAATCACACAGGAATCTGATAATGACAGAATCTAGGACAAATGAGCTGGATTGAAAAACCCTTGTTTTCGTGTCCCATTCTTTCAAAACTGCTAAGAAAAAGTGTCATTCACTTTGATTTACATTTAACAAGGAATCACTACAACAAAAACAATTAATTATGGTAACTATACAATTATAAGAGATATTAATTTTATTGACTGTCATTTTCT